AGGAAAATTCGAAAAATGTCTAGTTTCTCTAATATTATTGCAAAATTAAAGTTAAGCTTTTCGGGGTACTTAGTTTTACATAGAAATTACTAAATTGTCTTAATGCTCCAAGAGCTTCGATTGTCCTTTTTGGACATCGTAACAGCATAAAAATTTCCACATGGAAAACTATTTTCAAAATCCTGAATAGGGAAAACACAAAGATGTTAGGAAAATTCTTAGAAGCACCTCAACTGCGCCACAAGACAAGCCCTATTTTGGAACACTCAAGGTAAAAGGAAAAGAGTAAGGCCAAGGAACACATTACGCCGAGAAATAGAGAAAGACATGAGAAAAACAAAAATAGAAAAGAATTGGATAGGGAAGAGCCTAGGACAAAGTTGGTTAGAGAAAACTAGTCGGCGGCCTATGCTCCATTGGTGGGTAACAGGCGTAAGTATGTAAGTAAGTAAAGAACTAACCCGTCAGTTCTATCAATCACCTGCGAAAATTATTAGCAGTCATTAGTTTAAGGGCTAACCTTGCAAGGTTTGAAGTGAAAATAGCGTCCATGAAGACAAAGACGGATACCTTCTTCGTACAGAGATTATTCGAAGATAAGATTTTCAAGGTACATGGCTATACGTAGAATTTACTAAGTCGTTTTATTGTTCCAAGAGCTTTGATTGTCCTTTTTGGATATTGTAATAAATGCAAAACAATCCTGAACAGGGAAAACACAAAGACGTTAGGAAAAATTCTCAGAAGCCATGATATTCATTTCTAAGCCTAGTATCTTCCATTCCATATAGCTCATTGGGGTTTTTAAATATTGCAAAGATTGAAACAAATTATCATGTATAGAAAGTACGCTTGACTAGTATTTTAATGACATCGTCATTAGAAAAATAATATCCAGAATAATTAGTAAAAAGAATTAATGTCTTGTTCTTAGATGATTACTCACGAATGCTTGCCAAAATATCATTATCTTAATTTCTCAAAATCATTTCTATATAAGCAATGAAACAAGCATCAAACTGTATTCATCATCTGCATCATATCACTAGTTAATTTTTTAATTGACTGAGAACAAAAAATTTATTATGTTATTACAAAAATTAAAACTAAGTTTTTCAAGGTACATAGCTTTACATGCAATTTACTAAATCGTCTTATTGTCTTAATAGCTTCGATTGTAGCTTTTTTGGACATTGTAACAGTTATGAAACAATTTTCACACGGTAAATATGTCAAAATTCTGAATAGTGAAAACACAAAGACGTTATGAAAATTCACGGAAGTCCTGATATTCAGTTTACTAAAAAGACTATATTATTACACCATTTCTATCAATCACTTACGAAAATTATTGACAGTCATAAGATGAAGAAGGGGGATACAGTCATAATAATGATGCAAACAACGACAGGTTTAAAGTTAATAACAACCAATCAAGATCCAGATTAACAGTACAAGCTACTGGTCAAACGTGAAGAAATTCGAATACTTCACTTTTATCTGAAGAAGTTTGTGCTGATGATGTTGTTGTTCAGAAGAACAATTAAAGCTCCACAACCCTAAACATACAGCTCAGAGAACGAAACCCCACCATCACAATCATCCACCTGAGACACAAATTTTCCTCATCGTTAAAATAAATTATCACGTATAGAAAGTATACTCGACTAAAATATTTTAATAACATCGTCATTCCGAAAAATAATATCCGGAATAAATAGTCAGTTAGGAGAATTAATGCAAATTACCTGTGCTCACTAGTGACTAGCTTCGTGAGGAATCTTCTCCGACTTCTAGTGGGAAGACGTGACCAGTGAATTTGAACCTATTCGGGTGTAGACAGTAACTACCTAAGACTGTGTATGAGGTTGCGCAACTCCGTCAATTGATCAAGTTAGACATTAACACCTTTAGATACCGGCTCAGTGGTCCGATGGTTAGTCGTTCGCCTACAATACCGAAGGCCCTGGTTTCGAATCCTGCGGGGTGCAGGGGTCGTGGATGCGCACTGCTGAGGAGTCCCATACAAGGACGAGACGGCCGTCCAGTGCTTCCAGGTTTTCTAATGGTGGTCTAAGATTGATCGATTCATGGTTTCATAAAAAAAATTAATGTTCTATTTTTTCATAAATTATTACCCCCAAATGCTTGCCAAAATATCAATTAATGAAAAAAATAACGTTGTTTTTTTAAATCTTAATTTCTCAAAACATCTAACTGTATTCATTCATCATCATCATCAGTATCCTATCATATCATCATTGGTCAATTTTCTAATTTTCACTGAGAACAAACATTGTTAATCTTGCATCTACTGCATTTTCCGTTAATTATTATTCGATCAACAATCAATAATCTCTACCAAAATGTATGTGAGTAGACAGAAAAAAAGAAAGCGGTTTTCCCATATACTGCAAAAAAATATGTAAGATCGTCTCACACAAAATGTGTTTGTTTTTCTTCTTGTTTTTTGAAAAACAAATTAGTCCCTTTTTTAGATAAATTTTCAATCATAAACACAGTGAGAAGAAGAAGAAGACATTATTGATATCTGGAAAACAAAAAAACGGGTTGTTAGTGGTGTATTTGTGCATTTTTTACACATTTTGTAAAATCTGGTCAAATTACATTTTCAGAAAAAAAAATGAATAAAATTCACACTAATTTTACATGAAATTTCAATTATCATTCCTGTCCTCCAGCCTTTGTAGATTTTTCGATGGAAATACTAGTCGCCGTTAATTTTATTTTTGGTGTTGTTCTACAATTTGAGAAAGAATTCCGCCGTTATTTTTGGAACTGTGTTATTGTAAAACTAACTAAATACGCCATAACAGATATGGTTGAATTAAGTAAATGCGTGACCAGATTGTTCGAAATGTATAGCGTGAATATGTCACATTTTTCAGATCAGATTACGTCTTCTCATTGTTCTATCAAAAGATATGTTTGAGAATAGATAGACATTACAAAGCCTAGTAAACAACTGCAGATTGTTATTTTATTTGAATACAAACGAGCTGTTTCTTTTATTCTCACTCATTATTATTGTATAACTTTCGGTAGAATACGAGGTAGATTCATTGGAGTTTATGCGCTCGAAATCAAACAATAATGCTTTGTAATTGTAGGATCCAAAATGAGGTTTAGACTGAGGAATAACTGTCTATGTAGTTTAGATACGCTCTATTGCCGAGTTTAAAACCAAAACAAGTGATTTGGGTAAATGATGGTTCCAACAGTCATCATAAATATAAATATACATCACTACCTAAAAAAATATTACCACTCAGTTATTCCACCGACAATTATTCAATTATTCAAATCAACAGCAACAAATAAATGTTATTCTATCCTTTCTGGATAGATCAGATTCGTTCAAAAGATAATATTTGGTTGCTTTATAACACAGAGTGTTTCATATTCTGGAAGAGTGCTTTAATTCACAATCAAAATGCACAATTTTAGTCAGGGCAAGCGACACAATCAAAAGAGGAAAAAATCAGTATATCTGTCTCTATGACTAAGTATCAGCTTAAACAACAGAATGCAGTTCAGAAAGAAATATAGAAACTCAGTGAAGGCAAAAGAAATAGAAACTATAATAAAATACAAATATTATCATCTCAAAAATCTAATTGAACAGACTAACAAAATGTACAAATGAAAGAATCAATAGGACAAATTACAAATGTATAAATGGAGGGGTTTTCACAAAAAACAAAACTTTCAAAAAATGGATTTTACAGTAATAACGTGTCCAGAAAACATGCTATGCAACTTACGCAATGTAAGAGCTGATCTAGCTGAAAATTGCATAACTTTCTGAGAGTACAATCTATTGAGTATGATAAGAAAGAATATTATTTTCTAATTAAAAATTGCATTTTATTTTATATAATTTTAATTAAGGTAGAATAACTTTCGTCTGAGTCTCTAAATGGATAATTTTTTCCAACTAGTTAGTAGTAGGGCGCCACATTTCTGGCATTTTATTATGTAACAATTGCATGAATTAAACTTTCAGCAAATCTAACTAACGCTTTGTACGATAATCTAGTCTAAACCTCATTTATTATACATAGATAGATAAAATGAAGTGAAAAATACTAAGTACTGACTATTTTAATTGTCATAATTATTATTATCAATAAAAAATTGATCCACGGTAATTATAAATATATGTATATACACATATATATTTGGAGTGTATATTCCATTTTAAACTAAACCCAGAAAGTGATTGATAAATCAGTTTAACATAAACGGTATTGATTAGCTTGACTGGTGGAATTCAGCGGTTGTTTTGTTGTTGTCACTCAACGCAAACAAACTCTATTCAAAATGAGATGAGTTCACACATACTTATGGTAAGTGAATATATCTCTATATGTGAAGCAATAATAATGATGACTGATTTTTCAATTTTTTTCAGTTAGAGTTGTGGAGACCAGTGTTTTTACACGTTAAAATCATCAATCAATCATTGTTAGACCGGCATTGGAATTTTCGGAAGCACCGAACGTCCGTTTCTTCCTGGCATGGGACTCATCCAAAGACGTGATCTGTGGAGTTCAACCCTGTTGGGTGAAGGCAGTAATTACAGAAGACAAATGGATAAGGTTGGGCGAAATCACTAGATTGGTCAGAGTAAGACATAAACACCATTGGATGTCGGTTAGCTCAATGGTTCAGAGGTTAAGCGCACGCGCGCAAGATCGAAGGTCCTGAATTCGAATCCCTTGAGGTGCAAGAGTCATGGAACTGTTGAGTCCCTTACCATGATGAAACATCCGTTCGGTGCTTCAGAAATTCTAATGGTAGTCTTAATAATGATTAACTGATGATTTCAATGTGAATTTTTCTACTTTTTATGGATGGTTTTGACGGGCAATCTTCGATTGCCATTCGCAAGTTCATTTATTATTTATAGTTTGGTATTGTAAATTTAAACTTTGTTTTTCTGTTGTTCATTCGTATATTTTTTAAAAAAATAATAGATTTAAAAATTCTCCAAACTGATGCACTAACACTTGGTCAAGCTTTTGATGAAGTAGCAAAATATGCTTTAGCACAAAATTATATTCAAGGCAATGAACAATATGATGTACTACGTGCTATTCTATTTGCTGAACGTTGGCATCCTGATGTTAAAGGTCATATATCGGATGAAGCGGAATTCGATCAATATTGGGCAGGTAATTTCAAATTGCATTTTTTCGCCTCCTGAAAATGAAATCAATTGTAAGTAGAAATAAGCTGACATGTGTGTTTGGAAAAATGTTTGTTCATAGTAGTGAGATTATTAAAGAGAAAATTTTATTCATATAACATAAGTAGACATACACAGACATATTTATTACAAATAATAAATTACATTCTCACCTGGTATTAGTATTTAAAACAATAAATCAATTCGAATTTAGAGGGATTCAAGAATAATCTTTCTGAGAAGCTTGATTCTTTCTACGATAAAGAAAACTTAGTTCAGTTGTTCATTTATTTGTTAATTGTTAGCAGTTTACTCGGGTGATCGAATGAAACTTACAGTCTGAAGCTGAAGCCCAATGTAAGGCTTCTTTCTGGCAATCCGAAAAATCTAGCATTAATCAATGAAGTCAGTGAGATTCGGAGTGATAGAAAAGCGAAAACTTTCTTCTTTAAGTTTGTATTGCGTGCAACTTTTAGAAGGTCGGGATGAAATTTTTCAATGGCGTAGATGAATTTATCCGCTATCTTACCCCTTAGATTTCGACTTTCTACGTTTTTTGATACTTTTTGATTCTATTGACTAACATACACATTGTAAACTGTAGGCTTCAATCATGTCCTGTGTATTTTGTTGACATAATTTAACATCAATAAATAACGCACATTTTTGTTAGTCCTTTAACAAATAATATTTAGTTGAGTGAATGATTCGACTTTGTGGAGCGTGTGAAATTCCGTTCTCTGAGCTGAATAATTTGGTTGTAGAGTTTTCATTGCTCTTCTGAACAACATCATCAGCACAAACTACATATAGCAGAAGTGAAGTATTTGAATTTCTCCACGTTTTATCTGTGACTTGTTCCGTTGACCTCTGCTTTGATTGGTTGTTTCCCAACCATCGTAAAATCATATGAGCGTGACACGCTTCCTGTTGTTCGAAAATGGGAGAATTTCTCCAAACGACAGGCTTCCACTCAAGCACAACTCTACTTTCTCCACGAATATCTTCGTCAGCATGTTCTGCCAACAAGTGTCAGACAAAGAATATCAATGAACTGTCGAATAGGATGGTTAAAGCGGATCAAGGTTGGAATAAGCAATCAAGATCGAGGTTAACAAACGTGGAGAAATACTTCACTTCTTCTACCGTGACGTTTGTGTTGATGATGTTGTTGTACAGAAGAACTATGGACGCCCCATGACCAAAACATTTAGCTCAGAGAATGAAACTCCACCACAATCACCGACCTGAGCTACAAATGTTCTCCATCATCTTGTAAAATTCCACCACAACGAACAACAACAAAAATAGTTGATTACTACAATCGTGAAAATCTCTTAAATAAGGTTCAAACTTTTGATTGATCTCCATGAAGAGTTTAACTCACAGTCTTCAGTTAAGTGTATGTTCAAAAATAAAATTTTTATCGAACCGAACTTCTGCAGCATCATGTTCTTCAACCAAGGCAATTCAATTTTGTTTCCTACCATAGAATATAATATGCAGTAGTAATCAACTTAAGTAAATATCACCTATGATGAACATTTGAGCTGATTGCTAATTAGTCCATTCATCAAATGATTCTTTTTGACTTTTTTTAAGTAGTCGTCTGTAGGTTTTATTTTACATTTCAGAAATCGTAAAGTAACATATATTCACAAAAAAATCCACGCTACGAATAAACGGTTCAAGTTCGAAATGTAACAGTATTCTTTTTTAGATGTACGTTTATTGTATTCATGCATACACATATACATGATAGAAATAGTTTTTGTGAGTACGATGTGATGATAGGTGCAAGAAACAAATGGGAAATGCAGATAATTTTGATTTTCCGAATGAATTGAAGCTTAAAATTGATGTCAAACGAACTTGAAACATGCGTTACCGTTTATTAATTATTAATTTATATATATATATATATATATATATATATATATATATATATATGTAAATATTAGTGAAACCATGAACAAATTATCTTAGACCACCATCAGAAAGCTGGAAGCACTAGACGGCCGTTTCGTCTTGGTGTTGGACTGATCAGCAGTGCGCATCCACGACTTTGGCTACTCGCAGGAGTCGAGTCCAGGACTTTCGTTCTTGCGCGCGAATTTCTAACCTCTAGACCACGAAACTGGCATGCAACGATGCCAATGTCTGAGTTTGATCAATCTAAGAGTTTGTGCATTGTAATCCTGTGTTTAGCGAAAGACGTAGATGCGCACTTCTGTTGAGAGTCCAACACCAGGACAAAACTACCGTCCCATGCATCTAAGTTTCTAATGGTAGTCTAACAATCACTGATTCATGATTTTTTCAATCATAAACAACAATCTCCATAAGTTTTTTTATAATGAAATATACATATATAATGTATCAAGATAATGTTTTCTTTATCTTTAAGGAATTCTACCGGAAGGTATCAATCCTGTAAGTTTTATATTTGTAAAATATTTATACCAAAATTAATTCCAATTAACATTTAATGTTCGAATTGACATCACGAATATTGTAATCCTCAATAGATTTGTAAAACTGAAATATCTATATTACATTTTGTTCATTTTATTGATTTCAATTCTAACATACTCTATCTAAATAAAATAACTTACCTAGTCAGAACTTTCCATGAATACTTTTTTATTCAAAGTGTGTATCAGTTTAAATTGAAACTCATATTTACTAAATCAAACGAAGTATATTTAGTTTTATTTCAAAAAACTACTTACTTACTTACTTACGCCTGTTACCACCCAACGGAGCATAGGCCAACCACCAGTTTCCTTCAGCCAACTCTGTCATGGGCTTCCCTTTCCAATTCTGTCCAATATTTGTTAATTCTTCTCATATCTTTCTCTATTTCTCGGTGTAATGTGTTCATTGGCCTTCCTCTTTTCCTTTGCCTTGAGGGTCCCATGTAAGGGCTTGTCTCGTGACGCAGTTAGGTGGTTTTCGTAGTGTATGTCCTATTCACTGCCACCGCATCTTCCTGATTTCCTCCTCCATTGGAATCTGGTTTGTTTTCTCCCACAGTACGTTGTTGCTGATGGTATCTGGCCAACGAATCTGCAGTATATTGCGTAGACATCTGTTAGCAAACACTTGTGTCTTCTGGATGATGCCTTTCGTAGTTCCCCAGGTTTCCGCTCCATACAGTAGAACTGTCTTGACATTTGTATTGAAAATCCTGATTTTAGTTTTGGTTGAAAGTTGTCTGGAGTTCCAGATATTTTCAACTGTAGAAATGCAGTCCTTGCTTTGCTGATCCGCGACCTCACATCTGTATCGGATCCACGCTGATTGTCGATGATGCTGCCCAGATATGTAAAGGTGTTAACGATTTCAAAAAAATAAAACTAGTTAAAACTTTAGAAGCACAAATCACCACGAAGCAGTTGATTGGTGGTTTCAATCTAGCTAACAAAGCGCTCATCTGATATCCGGCAAGAATCGAAACATAAAAACTGTATTATTCGCTTTTTAGGTTATTGGCTCGACAACACTGACTGTGTGTATGTTTACATTCCTTACTTCATTCAATTCACACAATAATTATCTAATTGGGAATCATGAATTCTTCACTAACTAAAAAAACTATAACAGAAATTTGTGAATTTTTTATTACACCGTCACAATCAATGATTACCACATATTATTCGTTTGCTATTTTATTACATCTCTATTATGTATATACACGTAAAAATGACTATTTTACATACATCGAAATTAGGCTTATGAAAATGACGAGGGCAAACGAACTTTAAAAATTCTTCAAAGTAAATTGGTAAGTCAGCCATGACAACAAAGCAGTGTAGACACACGTCGACAATGTATGAGTAAAACCAAAAAAAAAAAAGAGAAACGACCAGATGAGAAAATTTGCTTAGATAATAGTAATATTCACTGCCGCCCTCGTTTTTTTCTCTACACGCCGCGCGATCTTTTGTGCCTATTGTGAAATGCTTGCGCTTTGTATTTATTTAATTCTTAATTGAACAGAGAGAAACACGCTTTTTTTCGTACATACAACTGCTGTATTATTTTTTTCAAGATTGCTAACAAAAAAACAAGAACAAATTTTTTCTCACTTTATTTGTGTGTGTGTGTTTGTATGCGATTGATTTGCTTAGGTTTCGTGTTTAGCTTGATTACATGTTTTTTGCTTGATCGCGATCTAGTGCTGCATATTGCCTACTATACATCTTTTTTATTCGATGTGCTAATTATTTTTTCGACATGACACACATAATTACTGGAGTACTCCAGATCATTCTTAACCTCCATATGTTTGTAAACGAACACTTGTCAACACTATTTTTCTGTGTAGAAGGTCGAATAGATAAATTACAGTCTGTTACAGTGTAAAGAGGGATTATTGATGATTAGAGATTTTGCAGGGAGCAATTCCACCTATAATTTCCTCAAAAAATAATGTTCGAAAGTTATATTTTTCAAAAATTATCTCTATTAAAACAATCTGATTATTGGTTCAGAGAAAAAAAATGATTATTTTAAGATCTGAGAGCGTATAAATGAATTTCATATTCCTGAGCACTGCTTTTGAAGCTAGCTAGCTGATACAACGGAATTTTAGGCGGGTTATCAAGATTATTTCTCTTAGGGTTTTTAGTTGCTTGAGGATGATATAAGCTCATTGACGTTCAGCTAGCTTTTTTTTTCATGGAGTCATTATGAGAAAAAAAACGAGTTTCATTTTTTTTTCACATCGCGATACATTGTTTTTTAATGACATAATTTCCTGATCGCTAGTTTCAACTTTCATGTTATGAGTGAAAGTGTATATTGTGACGATGATATCTTCTTTTTCTTTTTAGAATAAACTAAGAATTTAGGTTAATTTTAAGTTACCTAATCCTAATTTTTTTTAATGTGGGCAAGTAAATGTTGATAGATTCTTTGCTTGCAAAATATTTCATGCCCCGTGTTACCAAAGGGGATTTTTTTGATCGCATTTGCTTAAGCGTAGACATTATTCTAAGTATATAGATTTTCGGATACTTTTCAATGGATGCAAATGCTGTCTTTACACCAACACTGCGAGGTGCAAGAATCGTCGGTGCACACTGTTGATGAGTCCCATACCAGGTCGAAACAGCCGTCCAGTGCTTCCAGGTTTCTAATGATGGTCTAACAATGATTGATTGATGATTTCACTGTGCAAAACAACACTGATCTCCATTACTGTAATTGAAAAAAACACTGTAAAAGTTTTCAAAAAATAAAAATTTTATTATTCATTATTTCAGAGTATATGCTATTCTCTATTCGTGCTACAGATGTTCAATTAATTAAGTTGATGGATTTGAAATGTCTTTAATAAAATTATTTATACATCTGACAGTCAACATTTGTTATTGACAAATGAAGAATGTACTTTATTTTGTTGCTTTAAGTAGTTATGTATATGACAAAGTGGATATTTACAATCATCACTATGAGTGTTTTCATAATAGAGTTATAACTATTGTTCCTTCACATTGAAATAATCGATCTATCATTTTTTCGACCACCATTTAAAATTTTGTAACACCACCGGACGACCATCTTGTTCAAGTATGAGACATGAAATCATTGCGCAGCAACGACCTCCGTACGTGTAAATCGGACCTAGGATCATCTGTCTTGTGCGCAAACTCTTATCTCCAGATCACCGAACCGGCGTCCAGTTTCAGTCAATCCTAAAAATTTCGGCGATCATTTACAAACATAAAAAATATCTTATCCAGCTTCTCATTCAAATTAGTTGATCTAACTTTATGAACAATTTCAACTAAAAAATCCTATTGAAACAGAGGATGAATAAAATAAAACTGAATGTTTCATAATATCTATAATTTCAAATAAATTGAACATTCGGTGAAAAGTTATTTAATAAAAATAGTAAAATAATCATAATTTTATTGGGATAACTTATTGAATAGAAATTTATCTGTTTATGATGTTTCGATAATTCATTAATGCAAATTTCTTCTTTGGTGTAAAAATCAATAACCGAAATAAATTGACACAAGTTTAAACAATGCTGTCATTAGGAAACAAGTACTTGACAGCGACAGCTAATCAATAGATAAAGTATTGAAAATTCTTCACTTGAGGTGGTTGGGATAAGTGTTGCATATGCACAACTGCCGACAGACTCGACGAGCGATGTATTTTGGTGTAGGAGTAGGATGGGGCGGTCAAACAAAAACATGGTAGAAATCCATGTAGTCACTGACAAGTGGACTGAGTCATGTTCGTAAGTGTAGACTACCTGGTTGAGGTCGGCAAAATGTTTGTAGCCAATGGTTAGAGACCTTAAACGACATGTTTTAAAATCGTTTGCAATGGTGCGAAGTGCATCCACTCTTTGTGTTCTCTCAAATGCTAATCTTCTGGGTTCGTCGACACCTCCATCTTTCTCTTTCTAAATTAATTTCACTGAATCATACTTCTTGAATATTTTTTCTTTGAATCTTAATTTTCTCCATTACCACTAATACGTCTTCTATCTCTACTACTATGCGATATGAATTGAGAACTTCATCTCTGTGCTATGGTGGTATGGCAAACTGAGCTTAGGTACGTACGTACGACGATCTACGTTGTAACTTACTGACTGATTGAGCACAAGTTTAAATAATAAGTACATCACTGTCATATTTATTTTTTTGATCATGATGATTCTATATGAGACGTCAAGGTGTTTATCTGTGTGCGTGTGTGTTTAAAGACGGGTAAGACGAATATATTTAATTTTTATGATATAATTATTGTGCTATTCAAAAAAATTTAAAGTGTTATTTTTTCCCCTAGTTTTACTTACCATTACAATTCATGTTGCATTTTGCTTGGGTGAACAGAATGTTTATTTTTTCTACAACCACAGAAAAAAATAGTACTAGAATATCTTAAGATTATTATTGTTATTATTGGCATGTAAAATTTTTATACGCATAATTTCTTTCCTCTCTCTCTCCCTCTCTCTGTGAAATATCCAGGAATCTGCTCGTTCATCCATTTCTTCATTATCATTTGAAGTTAAGGTTTGTACAACACCGCCTTGAACACACTACTTCTTATTCTTCTTCTTCTTCTCTTTTTTACCACTAAAACAGAACAATTAAATAAATAAATTAGTGTATCCAATCAGTCAGTGTCTGTGTATTGCACAACTATATTCATTATTCCGTTAAATTTCTTGAATTTTGTGTGCAAATCAATAGCACTTTTCATTTATTCACAACCCGGCTCAAACACCATTTCAGATGATTGATTACCTTTGTGCAATGATTTCAATCGACATATTTGTATAGATAGCTATTTTTTTTTAAAAAATATTTCAATTTTCAATTAATTTTTTTGATACTGAAATCCGGTTTATTACCCTGAAAATTCAGACGCTTGTGATTGATTCATGCACCATATTAGCTGTTAGCGCACTTAATTAAATAATCATATAGTGGTTTATTTAAATATTTCATTGGTGTATTTTTGTTTTACAAGGAAATTGGATGAATGAATTTGAACAGTGGAAAGCGATTATCATTGAATACTTGTTGGTATAGTCACAGTAATGTCTATGTAACAGTAGTTTGTGTAGAATATAAAATCATCCAATAATTTTTCAACTAGCTAAGAAAAGACTTTGATTTTTGCGTATTCTTTTGCAAATTCACTTTCTTCTGGCCTTGTTTTAAACTTGAGGAGTTACTTTTCATCGTCAGCATCATGGTTAAAATATCTTGATGATGGTTGACTTGCCTTGAAAAATTAGCTTTGTGCGTGTTCAGTGACGAAGTTTGGGCTATAATTCATCTTTTGGTTTATCAGCCATTGATTGAGCTGCAAGCTCAAACTCAGAAGTACTTGTTTAGAAATAGGTTATACAGGTGGTAGAATCAGTGTTTGAAAATATTTAAAACTGATTTGTCTGCAAAGTGATGATGTTCTACTGAGTTATGCATGTAGGGGCAAACTACTGGGCTTTTAAGCCCAAGTGATTTTCGCAATTAATATCACGTGACTGAATGCAGCATGGTATAGAACCAGTCAGAATAGCTCACTTTCATTTAGGTTTTAGTCTTTCCTTTTGATCTTTAGTTCTTAAAAATTATTGTGAGCGTTTTACTCCTCACATTCATTCCTCACTTCTCTCCGTGTGGCTGAATTTTTTACTAATTAGGCGTTTATTTTTTATTTTGTAATTTCGTTACACTGTGTTGTTCTACTCATGGAATTTGAACTAGCACACACACACACATACATACGTGCCATTGTTTCACAGTTGCGCATACAGTTGACTTACTAGATAAACAAGAATTTTCAAACAGCTATTTGTAATGTAAAAAAGCTGTTTCAAAGCAGATATTTTGTTGAAAACAATGTGTTTTCTTTGCTTAAATCATTTTCACATTTTTTTCGAGAACTCAAAATTACTTCACTGTTCGGAGAAATTTTATTTCCATTATTCTTGGTTAGTATTGATAAAGTTTATTTCATTTTAACATGAATAAATGTTATTCGTCAATGATTTTCAAAAATTACCAAGAGGGTTCATTGGTCTAATAAAAAGGTAAACGCTTTATGCCATCACATTAAGTTTTTGATTCTTTATGTGAATTGATTGAATTAAAAAAGACATAATAATCTACTTCCTGTACGTTATGATAAGGTTTCTTCAATGAGAGCATAAAAATTCTTTTGATGCTAGATCATAGTGACGATCTACATTTTTAGGCTGACTCTCTTCCCATATGGTAATTATCACTTAGTGTTTGCTTATTTCTGAATTATACAGATTAATTATTGATCAAGCTATTGTGTTTATGTTGTACTGGGGTGTCATTCTCTGAGTAGGATGTTTTGATTGTGGAGCTTTCATTGTTCTTCTTCTGAACTAAAACATCATCAACACAAAATCCAGATAAAAGGAAGTGAAGTATTCGAATTTCTCCATGTTTGACCCGTAGCTTCTTCTGTTAACCTCGAACTTCATTGGGTCTTATT